AGCTGGAGCTGGCTCCAAGCCTGAGCTCGGCTTGCGTTTGCTTTGGCCAAATGTAACTACAATTTAAATGCTAATCTGGCATCTGTTGGCGGTCGGAGGTTGGCGGACTCGGACGAGGACGGCGGACAATGACTTGGTACTGGGACTGGAGCTGGGGAGCATGGGCAAACAGCACCGCCCCTATAACCACCCACTCTGGGAGGGAGTGACTGCAGGGAAGTGCGACTTGGCGGAGGGGCCGTGATTTGCATTTGCTCATTAGCCGCCAAAAACAAACCAAAAGAGGAGCCTCTGCCCGCCAAGGTGTTTTATTTATTGTGCAATCTTCTTCTGGCTGACTCCTGACTGACTCCGCTGTCTAATTAGTTTTCACGCCTATAAACTGCCGACTTTATTTGCGGCGGATGCCTGCTCTGGATTCCCACCGAGATTGGCCACAAAAATGTCGGATCTTGGTTCGTAGGTTCAACGGAACAAAGTACCGCTACGACCACACTCCCTCCCAGATCTCTCCGGGAAACCGCGACTCTGCTGGAAGCGGAGCACAAACAAAATCGGAATCTTAAGCTCAAATAGAGGCAGAAGTGGAAGCAAAATCAAAAGCGAAAGAACATTTGTAAACTGCCAATTATTATGAAATGAGGAGACAGCGACACAGTCTCAGGCACAGGAGCTGGGCAGCGGGGAGCCAGGGGAACGAGACCACAGCGACATTCGAGGAACAGAACTAGATTCTAGTTAGTTAGTCTTCCCTCTGTCTCCGCAGAGAGCAGTAGGGGGTTCCCCTCTGGAGAACAGAAAGCGCGTCACGCCGAATCCCGAAATTCGCTGGCGATGGCTCGTTACCATTCCGAGGGTTTCGGGTTTGGGCTTGGGCCTGGGCTTTGGGTTCCGACTTGGACTTCAGTTAGGGTTCAACGGAGCGCCAGTGGAAGTCTTCTTCCTCCGCTCCCTTCTCCCTTCGGAGTTTGCAGTTCCTAGTTCCACTTCTACTTCTATTTTTCGGCTCGCGTGCTGCCAAACCGCCAATTACCGAACATCAAAAAGCAGTTTCCCCTCTCCATCTCTCCCATCTGCCAAGAAGACCAAGTCTGCCCAATAATTTGCTCTCTGGTTTGTGTGTGGCTTTGTTTATAGTTTTGTCAGACTCCGCCGACCCTTATCCCCCTCTCCATTGGTGGACACCCAAAAAGGTGTTTGAAATGCCAAGAATCCGTTGCGGAATCACGCAATGAGTAATGGAATGGAAAGGAAAACTAAGAACAAATGGAAATGCAAATGGGAAATGGCGACTGCTCTGTAAGATCTTCGTGGCTCACGCTTCGATACAGTTCGGGGCTGGGGCCACGCCCCCATGTAGCTGTATCCCTGCTCCCAGTTCCGTTCTGACCAAAATTAATTTAATTATATCGGGTATAATAAATAAAGTGAGTTATCCAACGCGGTCTGCCCTCGGGCCCCTTTTTGACATTTTAATCACGTCCGTCGAGGAGTCGCTGGCCCACTTTGTTGGCGTTGGATCCAAAGTGCGAGATGTGCTCCGAAATTCCCCTGAATCTGGATTCTGAGATCAGAGAGGGAAGCAGTATCAAGAAGAGGAGTTATCCAATATGCTGATTGCGGAAGAGGGAACAATCTGTTCTCCCGCAGTTTAAGCATCCCATTATCGATCAGAGGGTTACGAGACATCAACACAGCCATTAGCAGTAGCGATGATCCTCCACCTCGACTTGATTGGTAATCCACTGATCCATAAAACATCGATTGCTTCACTTAATAAAGATCGTTGCATTTGCATCTCAGCATCTGCTCCTTTGTCCTTTAATATTCTCATCTTGTCTGTGTTTGATCAGCCCGCAGTTCCTGTGGCTTCTGCGTGGGCTTCCACCTCGCAGCCTCCGTTGTCCAGCTTGGTTATAACGACAATCACGTTCTCTGGTCGCATCATCTCTCATCTCCGCAATCATCATCTGCCGCCGAGATCAGCTTAGCCGCAGATCTGACGAGAGGTTTGTTTGCTAATGTGCGAAGCCACGTCGAGGATCGCGTGGGTCGAGTCTCTCGAGGGGAGAAATGGGATGAAGAAAGCATCTGCAACAATGTTGCAGCGGCAGATGCTGATTATCCAACCCAGCCGGGTTGATTAGGAAATATCTTTGCTCATAGCCGAACGACTTCTGAGCGGTCAGCTTTTCCAGTATTCCAATTGTCTCGGATGACGGAGTCGAATTCGCGAGGCGGAAAACTGAAAATGCAATTGAAAAGCGCGGAAAGCGCCACAGAGTCAGAATGATAAAGGCAGCGCCAATTTCCCGCTGCAAATTATGGCACAGAGTGCCAATGAAAAGTTAAGGCATCCTGTTTCCATCACAGATCGGTCCTCGATCCCCGATCGATCGAATGTTATTGAGGGATCCACGGGGGAGCCGCGAGAGATCCGTTTTACTGCCGCCTTGATTTATGCAACATTTTCCGCAATAAAAGTGCCAACGATGTGAAGAATTATTACATCATCACGTAATAGGTCTGCACTGGACTCAGGTGGAACCTCTTACCACAGGACAGCCTCCGAACGGCGCCACGCCCGCCGCCAAATTGCCCTGCGATGCCCTGCTTGATCCCCCTCTGGATGAGTTCCTCCTCTCACAAACATCATCATAGCAACCCATTCCCTCCTCCGAGGGACCCGTTCCAGACTCCATCCTCTCGGGCTGTCATAAATCAGTCGCCTGCCTCGAGTGGCCGCAGAGGCAGCGGCATTAAATACTCGACTCTCCTCCTAAATTGCCGGCTGAGGGGCAGCAGCAGCAGCAGCCTCGCAACAATGCCGCGTTAAGTGTCGTGTCATCCCCGAAGATCCATCATAATAGCTCTCCGGAGCTAGGAGAGTATGCGGCAGAAACATTTGCCTGGCACGTGTCCATCATGGCAAGTGCCACGGATTCCAGCGAGGGAGTTGCCTCCGAGAGCGGGAGAGTGGGAGATCGAAGGTGTTGGCTTGCGAGGAGAGTTCTCCCGCCAAATTGGGGTTCTTCGCGCGGGAGATCGCATCATACCTGTCCGTCCGTCCACCTGTACTCCGCGTCCCTTATCTGTGCCCACTCAGCCACTCAGATGGGGCTTCGAATGGCCCATTGTCCAGAGACACCAAACACGGAAGTGCAGCGTGTGCACTCCCCAAATGCCCATTTAATATAATTTCTATTATTTCTGCCCACTCTGGCCACTGGCAACTGCCACCAGGTGACAGTTACAATGCAGAAACAATATACAACGACCCGGACTCTCCTCCTCTCCTCTCTCTGGAGAGTTCTACTGGGGACATTGCCACCGATGCAACCTGTCTCTGCCTCTCCTGGCTCTCCCCGCTCCGATCATCATAATAATAATCGTGATCGTTTCGGGGATCGGGTTCTGGCTCGCCAAGGTTGTCCTGTCCTCGGGGATCCATTTTTGGCATGCGTTCGGCAGCGAACACTTCCTGTGGCTGTGGGAAACTCTCGGGATCGGGAACTTGTTCCTCCATGCGACATGTTCGCCACGATTCCTCCTTAGATTCCTCTTTCAGCTTCCAGTTTAGAGCACCCACCCACTCGGAGTCCACTTCTGTCTGTTCTTGTGCCGTGTTTGTATTGGAAATATTTTGGTAACTCGCTTCCATAAATCAATTAGCCAAGTGTAACAGTTTCGGTGGGTTGGATGGGTTGGGTTCGTTTAAGATGGGATGTGAGGCAGTGCCTCTTTCCACTCTGTGGTGCATGCAGCAGGCGAAGCAGCCATAAATTTCAATGCGATGCCCCTTTTGTGTAGCTGCAAATGCGGACGAACTCCGGGATCCCTCCTTCGCCCGCTGGCAAGTGGAAATTGGTGCAAATTGATGAGAATATAAATGGGAATATTGAGACCGGAGAAGGGAGGAGCTGCCGGACCAGGGATATTTTCCAATGCCAAACTAGGATGCGAGGGAAAGCGGTCAGGCCGACGATCTGTTTACTTTGTCAAGTGCCGCGCTGGGGGAAATTGATGAAAATTGGTCCAATTTACCGGTCTGCACACCCGCAAGATGCGAATCTCGCTCGGGCAGTTTATCAACTCATCTCCAGCAGGAATCCACTCCTCCGACTCAAGGTCGAGGCAGGTGGAAGCCAGGAGTCCCGCGGAGGACAGAGCAGGTGTTGCCTCCATTGACAGTTGCCTTGATTGGCCTGTGTTGCATGTCGCACGCCTCGTGCTGCTCTCCGGCAACCAAGAGGAACTCCTCCACTGCTTCCACCTCTTCCCTATACCGAAGTGCACTCCCATGCCCAAGCCAGGCACACCCCTTCATTTGTAGAGACACAATCTGAGTGCTGAGCAGGAACCCAGCTGGCTCCAGAGACAACTGCATTTGGCTCAGCTTGGCAACTTGGCACTTGGCGAGGTGGTGTGCCAACGCCCAGAGCAAATATTGGGAGAAGATTCCCACTTCCCGCTCCCAGTTCGATCTTTTGAAGCCTCCCATCCGATCTCCATAACTTGTTGCAATGTCGTCGCTAATCGCAGGCTCTGGGATTGTAAATTAAGAGTGGAAGCTCCAGTGGCAGGCAGATTGCATCACCGCTGCTCACCTATTGACTGTGTCCGGCCTTCATCAGCGGAGGAATTGATGGAATGACGGGAATATGAAACCGCCAATTTGCCTAGCCCAAACGGGGATGCCTGGGAATCCCTCTCCCGTGGAGAGCCCGTTACGGGAGAGAGCTTTCCCATTCCTCCCTTATGGGCACAACAGTCGAATTGCTCCGATCGATGCCACCTCTGCGTGCCCATAACTCAGACGGCACCTCCTCCGTCCCCCAACCCAATCCCATCCTGGCGAGGCTGAGCAGAAGCAAAAACTGCTGCAATTAGAAGCAGAAGCTGCCGATGGCAGTTGAATGTTGGTCGGTGATTGAGTTGCAGCTCAGGTGGACACTGTCCCCGGCTCCTTGGTCTCCATTCGCGGCTGTAATTGATGATGGATGGGAGCGGAGGAGCCGGACCGGGCAGTGGGAGGCTGTGAGCATCGGCAAAGGCAATGCAATGGCAACGGCAGCAAACAGGAAAATTCATATTACGAAAAAACTGCATCGCTTAAGTGTCATTATTGGGACCAGAATTTCAACAAGCCGCGGCCGTTCGATGTGTGCCTCCTGATGCAGATGTGGAGACGGAGCAGGGGAGCTGGGGTTCAGAAGCTGGAGGGGATGCAGCAGGAGATGGAGATGAGATGGCAACTTTCACCGCGCTCAGAATTCCTCTGCGCGGTGAGCCAGTGATCAGAGGCAGGAACCAGAACCACAGCCAGACATCGGTCAATCTCGGATCCCCTCCTCTGGAGCACTCCACTCCCCGAGCCTCTCTTCCGAGTGCGCCAATATCCGCTGGCCACAATCAACACCTCCGCACCGCCCACCGCCCCTCGCAGCGAGGTGGAGCCATCACTCAACTTCAGTCTGTGGCTTCGCTTATCTCTGGCAGCGCGCTTCCCTCCCCCAATCTGGCTCATCCGGCACTTCCACCGTCCACCTTCCACCTTCCCCTGCCCCGTCACTGGCTGTTGTCTTTACACCTTGCTCGTTTTTGTGGCCATGGTCTCGTGTCGAATGGATCCCAACTTGGCCAAGACCAAGTCGGAGTGCAGCCCAAGAATATGGCCAAGTCGTTGGTGTTGTCGTCGGCTAAGGGCGTTAACTGGGTTAAACGCTCGTTGACAGTTTTATGCCACAACCCAAGCGAGGTAAGACTACATCTGAGACGACACCAAGACCACGTCCAAGGCGGCTATAGTCAGTCAGTGGCACAGACCAAACGAGACACTTATTAAGAGTGAAAATTCTGATAGAATGGTTTTTCTTTCCTTCTGCTTAGAAAGCTGCAATTAGAAAAGCCCGAAGGGAACCATTGAAAAGTGAAACAAACAAATCCATCAATAAAACCTCATTACCATTCCACATTCGTGAGTTCGTCGCCTGAGTCTTTCGATTCGGATCGGGGTCACCAGGTGGTGCCTTTGATGATCACTTTCGAGATGCGTGCGATTCATATCGCAATCAGGGTAATTCGGAGGCTCTTAACTCCTTCAGGGATCTTTCGCTGATTACTTACCAGCGAATCTGGCGAAACTGCGGTGGAGGAGGAGAGATTGATGACGCACATCTGTATCTTTGCGTGCCATCGCCGTCCTTTCCATTTCCATTTCCATTTCCCCGAAATTCTCTCAATGCATTCCCAGTGAAAGTAAGCACCTTGGCTTGAGGGTCGGGGAGAGTTGCTCCACTTCTAATGAGCAATCTCAAAGTGCAACATCAACGGCAGCAGGTAGCAGTGAGTGAGTGCCAAGTGATGCACAGCACAGACACGAGCTGCAGAGCGAATTTCCTTGATTTCGATTGATTGCCGGAAACATAAACAGAGACTGATCCCATCTGTCCATGGAGGCAGCTCCTGCTCCTGCTCGACCTCGACTTTCTGCGAAATGGGAGCTGGCATTGGCTGGGCCTGTGACTGGGAGTGGAACGGCCCACGCGGCAATCAGAGAATGTGGAAAATCGAAAGGAAATCTGCATGTCACTCAATCGAACAGGGCGACACAGAGCAGAGTGTTTGCCATTTGTTTGCTCTGCAAACGAACCTCGAAGTCAGACCAGAGCGGCCCGAGGTGTCTCCGTCACTTTCGGCACTCTTTCCCGCCTCAGAGCTTGGCACAGTTTCGCGGACTTAGAATGCAAACAAATATTTGAATATCAGTGACACAGAAAGCAGTTGTAGAACACGGCAAAGCCAGCGATGGCCCACTAAAATCGCTTGCCACTTCCTCCTAACGGTCGAGTATTGATATATCTCTGGGCCATCCGCCCGGCTAAAACTGGCCTTGATAGGCGGGAGCAACAAACTCCGCTCTCGACCTGTAAATGTAAACTCTGCACAAAGACATTCGGGAAATATTTGAAAAGAGATTAATATAACGGATTCCCAAGAATCGTTCATAATTTTGGCAGCGATCTCCGCAGGTGATAGCAATTAGAGCAAACCTCCGACAGTTCCAATTACTCAATCAGAAGTGGAGGCCAGCGGAGGAGGATTGGGTGCTTCTGGTAGCGAATCAATCTGCGACCATCATCAGAACTCTGGAGAGGAGCGAGTCTCTTCATTCACACGCCAATTCCCGAGTCAAGGCCCGAATCCGGATGGCGGTCGACGATTGCAGACTTCCTTCTTCGAAAAAGCTTTTCCGAAAGACACAATTTATATAATTTCTTATCAGATTGTTCATTGTTGGGAAATTGTGTAATTCCCTCAGAGGCGTTAATCGAACGCGGAGAGGCCTCAATTACGAACACAATCCAAGCCAAGTCGCATCCGAAATCATCATTGTGATCGAAACTGGATGAAAATGCATGAATGAAAATGTATGAAAAGCGGGGAGAGTGCGACAAGTGCAGTTCGCTGTGCTTTCGATGATTGCGCCTCAATATTTAATTGCATTATGTGACGGACGAGTTGGAGACAGCACAGCCTCCGCTTTCTTCGTGGCGCAACCGTTACTCAATTTCAGGTTGCATAAACGCCCGCTGCCTTGACTAAGCTGCCCCCACAATCGGTGACCTCATTCGGGGACCCGCTCCCCCTTTTTTACCTGATGCCTCGATTGTTATCTCGCACTTAATTAGGCGAGCGTTGGGGTACTTGCTCGTCGCATCGTGTACTTACAACTCTGGTCATTAGAAAGCCGCAAGGCAGCAGCAAGGTTCTTTACCAGCTCCAGCTCTGTGGGACGACTGCTCTCCCTCTAGAGTGATCCGAGTGATCCGTGCACCTGCGACTGGAAATAGCCCGCTGCTTCACTTCAATTTGGCATTATTCAGTGCAATTCAATGCCGAAGCTGCGTGTCAGGCAATCGCATTAGAAAATCATTTGCCTCGACGGTTATAATTGCATTTTATTACTTCCGACAAGAACGAGAAACCCAAGTCAGGGCCCCTGCAGTTTGCAGAGACCTTCGGCAGAAAAGCTGGCTTCGCTTCGAAGAAAGTCTTCAGCAAAGAGCGCTGCCAAGAGAGTTGCAAAGAGCGTTAGCTTTCCGTCTTCTACCGGTTTGTCTTGGCCAAAAGAGCAGACCGAGACAGAGAGAGAGAGCGAGTGAGCGAGCGTTAGTTGGTAGCAGCTTTTCTTGCAGATGGTTCTGTCGCTGCCGACGCCAGCTTCTTCATCGACGGACAGCTTGAAAACGTTTTCCGCGGCCTTCGCAGCGAACATTCAGTGTCAAGGTGCTCGAACTGGCGGTCGCTAGCGCTCGAGTGATAGAAGCCAACGAACTCCGAGAGTTCGACTTAGAGACCCAGACCGAGTCCGAGATTCGCTTTTCCCGCAGCTGGGCTCAGCATCTGGAGTTCCGGAGATCGCATAAGAACGTTTTGCCGAAACGCAGGCGAGGCAGTTGGGCGCTCCACTTTCGACAGTGAGGACGGCGGCTCGAGCGGTTCCGCGGTTCATCGATTTCGGACAGATCGAATAACGTTTAACGAAAGAAATTAATAACAATCAATCGAGTGCGTGTCCTGTCCAGCCTCAAGTGAAGTTTTTCGACAAAACACACAAGTGCAAGGTAAACAAAAAACAAAAATTTGAGAAAAGCATGAATATAATTGTGGGGAACGCGCTCCTCCTCCTTCTTCTCGGCAAATCGATTGACATTCAATGGCCTGACAAGGTGTCAATTGTCAGCCAAACAGGATGTCCACATGTCGATCAATTAAACGAAAATGGTCAATGGATCATTAGAGAAAGCTTTGGGTGAATGTCAGTGCGAGATGCTGGGATGCTGCGATTCCGAGATCGCCGCCAGATCGATGCCAGCCAAGCCGCAGCATGAGCCGCTGAGGCCAGCATGAGGAGATGTCACATTAGTTTCTGTTTCCAGTTTCGAGATAAGTCCGAGAGCTGGCATTTTTGCCATGCCGGAAACAACAACGGCGCACAACTCTCCATCCAACTCCCAAATGTGCAGAATTCTGCAGGCAATTAACTTTTGCCTGGTCAAGTCTTTTGACTTGACTTGTTCTTGGTTTCTTGGTTGCTTGGTCCCGGCGTCTTCTCTCTACCTCTGGGGGATCCTGCTGGCGACGCTGTGGCCAGTTGGGTGATTTGGGTCATCCAACGGTTCGACGCGATGCGATGCTTTGCGATGCGACCATTTAATGGCAATTAGCTGGGGCACGGCAGCTCAGCAAAAGACCAGAATGTCAAAGACTTTCGCTGCGCGCAGAACCGAGCCGCAAATGTCATACGCTTTAGACAAATCTCCGGAATACGTGCCGGGCTCATTTGACTATTACAACACTGTGGCCACGACCAGGGTAAGGTAATCCGATCCAATCCGATTCTCGGTCTCGGCTCATTAATATGCCGGAGTCGTTTTCGGGGCACTGATCTATGCGGTGGCCATTCCTCATGATCTGTAACAAATGCGTTCACAGTTAGAGCAGCGGCTTCTTCGTGAGCTAAAGATCATGTTCAGTCGGGATTTGGTGCATAGATTAGGGCCTTGAATGGCTTTCGAATTGGTGCAGTTACCTATCTGCCGTTAGGCCATGAAATGAAAAGTTTTGTCAAGAGTTTTTCCAATTCCAAAAGTTATGGGGGGAGAAGGGAAACGGGTTTCTGGTGACTCTTTTGATAGCCGAGAAATTTCACTGGCCATTAATTGAAGATTTGTCGCTAACTTTGAGAAATTTCTGCCAGCAACAAAAAAAGAATTTCTATAGAAATAACTCGAGCTGACCCACATCCAGCAGCAGCAAGCGGAGCCAAGGCAACTCCTTCTGCCGATGGCCAGCGGGTGCAGTTTTCAAATTGCCAGCCATGAAATGAAGATAGCTTGGCCAAGTAGTTGCCAGCCCGGTTCCTTGCGATGTTCCTACGATGCCTGGTTGCCAGCAGCAGGCTTTCATGGCCAACTTGCTGGCTGGATTCATCTCCATCTGCGGCAGCAACCATACATTGCTTACAGTTACATTGAGCAGCGGCAGCCAGGAGAGGCTTCAATTGAGATAAGCTCCAGCGGTTGGCAGTTATGTCATTCGACGGGCATTTTTCTGGCACACTTTTCCAACGACTTTTCCATCTAACCAATCACTTATAGCTAGCAGCTAGCAGCTACCAGCTACTAGCTTCCAGCTTGTGCCGATCGCCATTCTAATTAAGTGGCAACAAGTTTTTGGCGAATTGGTGTCATAAAAAGTGTCTTATCGGCACCTTGACAGGCAGACAGTCAGACAGTCATGCAGAGAAAAGAGAGTCTGATGGCAGTGGGATTAGCCCAAATATTGAACCAGATCCCACTCTTAACACCCCATAAAGCGCAGGCTAAACAAACTGTCAAATTTGGCTGTAAACATGGTTAAAATCTAAAACGGGTTGCGGTGTCTGAAAAATGAACCAGCATCCCGATGCTGCAGAATGCATATATATAAATCTCCATTCGATTCGAATTGAGTGGAGGAAGCAGTGGCTGTTGCCGCAGCAGGAGCAACTTGGCTGCCAAATGGAAATTTATGTCCATGTCCATGTCGGTGGAGGAGCTGCAGTGAATTGGCTAGTTTATTAGCCCACTAAGGCGGCTGACCCACAACTTTAAATTGTGATTTGAGTGGGCCAGCAGGAGAGTACCGTCTCTCTCTCTCTCTCTGCTAATTAGAATGTTTTTCTTTTTGTTCGTTTTTTCTTTGATTTTTTTACTCAATGAATTCCCGGAGCGAAGGGGGCACGCGACTCGCTCCAGTGACCAGTCGGCGGCCGTGTCATTGACCAGTCCAGACCATGAAAATTGATTTGCAGGCAGACACAACACAATTGCATAATCGCTGATTATGAGTTGCTCACGATGTTGGATTCGATTAGTCCGGAAATCAAATCGAGCGCATGTGGGGAGAGCCTCTACTGTACTGTACTGTACTGGCCTATCCTCTCAAGTTCTTCTGGCTCTGTGATTTAACGCATATTACACGTAATGCATTTTCCCATTTTCCATGCCGCAGCGGCGAAAGAACCGCAAAAGCCACTAACGAGAGGTTCGGGCCCAAGCATCCAGCTGTTGTGTTTGGCTCCGCATCGATCGCATTGCGATCGGAGGGGCCCCAATCAGAATTCCAGCTGACCAATTCAGTTAACAGCTTGTGCCGTGGCCCAAACAACGGTCTTAAGTTCCAGCTGCCTGTATTTTTTTGCCTGCATTTCTTTCTTCTCTATTTTTTTTTTAAGCTTTAAGTTGAGCTTCCTGTGCGTGCGCCCAGCTAAGTGGCATTATTTTAATTCCTCGGCCCCGTGCGTGTGAGCCAAGTTTAAGATCCAAGCCGCTGCTGCCACTGCTGCCTCATCATCGGCCAAATTGATTTCGCATCTACTTTGTTGCCACTGCGATTAATCTCGAGTTGCTGCCGTTTTGGCGTGCGAGTCTTACAGGTTGAATTCCTGGCATCTATTTCCATGTTAGATTTGCCATTAATCAAGTGCCTTTCGTGTTTGGTGGGCGTTGCATTATTATTGCAGCCACTGTTGGCCCAACATTAAACCCATTATTAAAGCTTAACTGTAACTGCTGGCGCAATTAATCATGGGATTAGCATGGGAGTTGGTCTGAGCGAAATGCTAATTAAAATCCAAAGACTAAGCCACCGAAAAACATTCTTGTTCTCTGCAGATGCAACTACAGCTACGGTCAATGACAAAGCGGCGTGTCAGCATGATGAAGACGACGACCGGCTACCTGGCGCTGATGGGCCTGGTGCTTCTCCTACTGGTGGACAGCTCGGTGGCGGCACGCAAGCTGCTGCCCAAGCGGCCGGTGAAACCGTTGAAGACATTTCCGCGCAACAATGCCACACCGATACCAGCAACGGGAGCGGGATCGGTGGCCGGATCGGGATCGATTCTGAACGGAAGCGAGCTACCGAAACCGTTGACGCTGCAGTCTGGCGGCGAGCCAGCGGAAGCGATTGTCGCCTCGCCAGCAGCAGCTGGAACAGCAGCACCGATACCCGTTGTGCCAGCTTCACCAGGTTCTCCACCTGCTGCTGCCGGTGCTGCGGCTGCTGCTTCTCCAGAAACCAAAGCCGATGAGCTATCGGTGGGCACCCCTTCATCGAGCTCCTCGGCGGACGATGAGTGCGAACCGGATATGATCGGCTTTGAGCTTATAACAGGGTAAGTGTCACTGCTGCCGATAATAAATCTTAATTGCAGGCAATTAGCTGTCCATGGAGCAGGGACACTCTAGCAAGTGCTTTAAAGTTGCGCCTGCCTGTTAACACGTCGTAAAGATCGGGCTAAAGCTATTCTCGGCAACGCTCAATTTATTATGGCCACCAAAACCCACCCACTCCACTCCCATTCCCCATCTCCCATCTGGAAAGCTTTAAATTTATGTGCGTTACTTTCCGCCTAATCCGCCATTGCAGGTACGTGCTATCGGCGCCATCGAGGCAATTGGAAACGCTGCCCGGCACCCTCATGCTGACCGACTGCCTGGAGGCCTGCCAGGCCAATGAATCTTGCAGTGCGGTTAATTACGAGACAGGACTGTGCGTCATGTTCCGCAGCACCGCCGATCAGTTGCCAGGTGAGTTCAGTGGGAGAAAAGAACAGGTCTTTGAAAGCCTTTAAAATGCGAATAAACTCTAAGAAATCAAAAAATATATCCCTAAAATATACATTCCTTTCCGAGTATACTTTGTAATCTTTGTAATTGCAGTCGTAGATATCTGAGAACATTTACAGCACACATTGTGCCATTTTGAATATAGCCTTAGTCTCTTGCAAGTATGATTAAAGTTCGCTTAAACACGTTAAGCACTATTTGACTATCAGACTCTTCATATCCTAGTATTAGTCAGTTTTTTCCTGGTGTAGCTCGATCGCTGAATCACGATCTCTGGCCCGCAGCCTGTATGTTAAATGTTCCCCGCTAATCACAATAAATGAACGCCTCCTCATCTGGTCTTCCTCCTCCGCAGGTTCACTTTCGCGCTCACAGTATCCCGTCTTCACCGTTTACGCTCAGAAATCCTGCTTCGGAGTGAGACCCTGCTCGAAGGCCTGGTGCATTGATCGCGTCCAGGGCTACCGGCTGCCGGAGCGGGCCAAGGCCAGCCAGAGCGTGGCAACGCGACGGGATTGCATCGAACTGTGCCTGGGCGAAACGGAGTTCACCTGCCGGTAAGTGCGCGATGATACCGTTACGACGAGCCACCCTCTTGAACCGCCTCCAAAACTCTGGGATGCCTCTTTGGGTTCACTCTTCACTCTTCACTCTTAAACTCCACTCCATACTTGATTCAAACACACTCGAAGAAGCTACACTCGTAAAATTAAGCAAAAGATCAGAGGTTTATATTGGGGGTTAAAGTGATTTTTTTTGCTGAGGGAAAATAATTACTTATTGAATGATTTTTCATTGCTAGAGGTTTATGTGGGTGAAAATCGTTAAAGGTTTAATTAGAAATATCTAGAAAAGGCTGGGTGTTTTAAACTCTCGAGATCATTCAATTTACAATAAGAAAATAACAAAGATGAAGAACTCAATTCTTTGATCTGTTCAAAATAATATTAGAAAAGTATAGGTTATGGGATTTCAGAGAACTTAACTTTCTTCTTTTAGAATATTGTCTTAAAATTCACTACTCGAAGATTCATAAATCTTTTTAAATAAAATTCAAGAACACTTAGTTCTTAGGTATATGCTTTTGAGAATATTTAAAGAACAGTTTATAGGTTGTAGCCGTTTAACAAACTAACCCCAAAGTGATCTTCCCATTTTCCAATTCATACCCATAACTAATAATTCTCCACTTCTATTTCCATCCCAATAATTTTCTCTCTGTGCATGCAATTCCTATTGAAGATCTGCCAACTACTATGCGCACTCTGGCCTGTGCGAGCTCTCGGACATGGATCGCATTACGCTGTCGGATGAGGCAAACATTGCGGCCTACGATGGCGCCGACTACCTGGAGAACAACTGCGCCGAGGAGCCCAGCAAGCTGTGCGAGTTCAAGCGCGTCGCGGGTCGCATTCTGAAGACGGTGGACTCGGTGCACCAGAACGTGCAGAGCCTGGACGAGTGCCGTGACCTCTGCCTAACGGCTCCGTTCCGGTGCCACTCCTACGACTACAATGAGACCGGGGAGTTGGTCTGCCGGCTGTCCCACCACAGTCGCGCCACCCTGACGGATCTCTCGGAGCCGTATCTGAGCATCGAGGAGGCGGCCACCTATGAACAGTCCGCTTGCTACAATGTTTCCATCGATTGCCGTTCCGGCGAAATGGTGACCAAGATCCGTACATCCAAGCTGTTCGATGGCAAGGTCTATGCCAAGGGAGCACCGAAATCCTGTGCCGTGAATGTGAACAACTCGTTGGAGTTTGATCTGCGAATGCGTTACAATGATCTGGAGTGCAATGTCCGACAGAGTGCGTATGGCAGGTATATGAACGATATTGTGATCCAACATCATGACATGATTGTCACTTCATCGGATCTGGGGCTAGCAGTCTCCTGCCAATATGATTTGACCAATAAGACGGTGGTGAACAATGTAGATCTGGGCGTTACCGGGGAGATCGAGTCGACGCTGAGCGAGGAGATCATTGTGGATTCGCCGAACGTCATAATGAAGATCACCGCACGTGATGGCAGCGACATGAAGCGCATCGCCGAGGTTGGCGATCCGCTGGCATTGCGCTTTGAGATCGTCGACGCGAACAGCCCGTACGAGATCTTCGTCAGGGAACTGGTGGCCATGGATGGGACGGACAGCGCCGAAATCACACTGATCGATGCCAACGGCTGTCCCACGGACCAGTACATAATGAGTGCCATGCAAAAGCTGGCCAGCAATCGCAAGGTGCTGCTCTCACAGTTCGACGCCTTCAAGTTCCCCTCCTCGGAGCTGGTGCAGTTCCGCGCCTTGGTCACGCCCTGCATACCGCGCTGCGAACCTGTTATCTGCGACAACGATGAGAACGGCGAGCTCAAGTCGCTGCCGTCCTACGGTCGTCGCAAGCGTTCGGTGCTCAACGGCACTGATGGCGGTAAGTGAACGGTAAAGTTCTCAGTACTCTTGCCAGGGATGGCTACATACCAAGTGACCTCTTAGCTTAACCACGGCTGCAGTGCATCCCATCCTCTTGGGTTTAGAGAGGGGAGACCGAATGACATTTACTTGAGGTTTATTTCACTGACAGAGTGCTGAAATTGTTGCGGAATCTCAAGAGAATTTACAAGTGGTTAGAGCATTATCTTTCGAGTGAGATTAAAGGGTCATGAACTTGGTCTTGGAGATCTTTTATGACTTTTTCAATTAAAAATAACTTGGTAAAAATCAAGAATATTTTAAAGTGTTATAAAGTATGATAATTAATCACAGAGAATTACTTTGAAAATAGCTTCAGCATACTCAGTCAGTGGAATCCCAAGCACTCTTATATGGTAGTCTCTCTGAGGTGAACCACCATCCCTGGTCAGTGGCAGAGCTCTTTCAGAAAACATATTTCATTTTCTTGTTTGCCTCTTTTTGTTCAACTCTCTTTCCTCACCTTCCCTGCAATCTTCATTCTTTTTATGTTTTGCACTGCACTTGGACTGTGTTTCTGCCTGTTGCGCTGCTACCTTTTCACAGTTGAGCTGGCCATTAAGTCGGAACGCCAAAAACGTGATGTGAGTCATCAGGCGGCCGGCGATGAGAACATTCTGCTGGTGCAATCGATACAAATCACCGATAAGTTCGCCTTCAATGGCGCCGATGGAGGTGCAGGCGCTGGAGGACTCGAGGACGGGCTGGCCAAATTGCAACTGGAGCTGGGCAACAAGTCGGACACTTGCATAAACGGTTATGGTGAGTTGGAACTCGGTTTTTCTTATTTTTTTGGGTTCAGTCTGGGGATCAGTTCGGTCAGTCCGGGTGTCGGTTCCTTTGGCTTATGTGTAGCACGGTGGCAAGTCGATGTGCCGCGTCCATCTATATCCATTCGGTATCGCCGAGCGTGGCGAATTGATTTGCGTTAATCGCGTGCCGTCGCGCCATCTAGCCTTGGGTCCGCAGGAGCACCTTTTGCAGAGACTGAACCTGGTCTTGCGACTTGCCGACTGAGTGCTCAGCTAATTAAATAAGCCCGTAAATTTCTTTCTCAACTCTTTTTACAACTCTATTTTCCACACACACCGCTCCACAGGCTTCATAATTGCCGGTGCCCTGTTCCTCCTGCTCCAACTGACGGTCATCGCTGTCTGGGACAATATGCAGAAGCGCGCGTTACACAAGCGATAAATGCAACCATGGAGGATGGAATCGAAGACGGGACATCAACGTCAGTGAATGGCCTTTTAACAAGCAGCACGAAGAAGTTGGACTCGAAGACGGAGATGGAAATGAAGATGAAGATGGAGCTGCAGATGCAGATGCAGTTCGAGACGGAGTTGAAGTTGGAGCTGCACAGGTGGAGGAGAATACGATGGTGGAGAGGAGGAACTAGCATGAAATTCTACTTAGCTCAAAAACTTAGCACCGCTCATAATCTAGTTAGTAGATGTACGATCGAGAGAGAGAGAGAATGGAGAATTGGAGATGGAGATGGCCCTTTCCCTAGATTTTCCGCCATAGAGCTGGACTCCTCTGTGAGGGGAGAATTCAAGGATCGATGAACCGCGGGAAGGCGGGTCTCTCCAGGCGAGACTGTAGTTTAATATTTATACTTATATCTATATATGCTCATATAACGTTTAGGCGTCCCTCTATAAGACTTACCGCTAAGACTACTCCGAATACGTCGACATACTATCAGCTTAAGACTCTGAAAAGAATATAAAAAAAGAAAAAGGAAAATAAGAAAAACTCTAACGAAGAGAAAAGAGAGAAAAAATAAAAGAAAAGCTCCTTAGTTTGTAGTGCGAACCATTCAAACCTCTTAAGCGAGCTCTGTGAACGGTGCTCGTTTACGAGGTTTGACTGTCTACTAATACTTAAATACTTAACTAAACTTAACTTAATGCTTATATATGCTAGGCCTAATCGAACACAAACACACTCAACACAGAACAAAAACAACAACAACACACATTGTAACAAGAGACAAAACTTCAGATGCTATAAAAGGTAAATAAACGTATTAGAAAGATACTCGCTGGCATTCGTATTCGCATTTGCATTACTTTCTTTTGGCTCTAAAATTTGCCCGTCAATGTCAATGCCAATTGATTGACTGTATCTCTTTTGGCCGGGGCAGCCTAACAAGGCTAACAACCTCAACCTCAAGCCATGGCCGTGATTGTTGGTTTTGGCCTAATCAACGTTGATACAAATCAATCAAGAGCAGCGTCATTTAGACCCGCCTCTCCACTTCTCAGCTCCTCCCGGTGCTCCTCCCACAATCGAATGCCACACTCACCACCAGGTGGAAAATTGGCCCAGAGTGAAACCGAACTGAAACCTTGGCTAAACGGCACTGAACTTGGCTAAATGGCCCCGGGGCCCAGCGTGGGCCAAAAGTGTAGCTGCAGTAAAAGTGACAAACTAATTGGGCGAGGAAAAGAGGGCTATGAATTGCAGGTAAACAACTTCATTAACATGATTTCACCTACATTCAAGGTAAGAGGTGAGCCAGGGAAATGCATTATAAAAGAGAAGTATAGCAACTACTTTATCAACTTTAAATGAAGAGAGTTTGTTAAGTAAACAATTTTGATTGAAATGCTTTTGTCTCTAAGTGAAAACTTGATTAATTAACTATTTAAATATTTGTTTTCATTGTACCAATAACTGAAAGATAATTGTCCAAAGCTATATCCTCTTATTGAACACCTTTTGCTTTGCCGTCTTAAATGGTCAGAGAGAGTTTCAGCAAGCCATTCTTCATCTGTTGTGGAGTCACCATAATTTTTAGTCATAATTATTACTGATTTTCTATCAACCCATCCCCAAAATGGCAGTTGCCAAGAACAGCAGCAAACAATACAAGGCACAAGGAGACGAGGGGCAGCTGGTAAACCGGCAAACAAAAAACAATTTGAAAGGAAATGTTTAACATTATCTCGAATCTGATGCTTTGAACTCGGCGCAAGTTGGCAAACATGAACATGAAAAGTTGCCAAGTCAAATGCTGTCACTGACATGGCCATCCAAATTTAGACAAAGCCTCCGCGATGGCCTCCAGAGGAGGCGACTGACTCCACTCCTGCTTATATATTTTTTTCGTCTCTCCCTGAGCTGAGCTGAGCTTCTAATGCTGCTGCCTGGAGCTCCCTGCCTGCCTGGCATAGCGAAAGTCTTTGGACACTTTCCGTGCTGGGACTTGGTCTCTCTCAGACTGCGGCACAGCATCCGTAATGGCTGAGACTGGGCATCTTTCTTTTTTTTCTTTTCTATATTTTTGTCACTGCCACTGCTGGCTGCGGCGGGACAGCGGGCGGCAGGCACGCATAACATAAATTCTGCAATGCGTATTTCAAAAATTGCCAGCATTCGATGACAAGGCGGTAAGCGGTGCGGCGGATTCAGTTGCTCCTCCACTCCTCGGCTCCACAACTCCAAGGCTCCAGCGGCGTGTCGTTCGCTCTTATAAGGAGCCGAACAGAGGCCTTGGCCATTCAGTTGTCCGCTGGGCAAATGTTTATGTCAAACGCGCAGCAAATAAAGTGCTCGGCTTGACAATGTCCGGGCAATGTCAACAGTCGACGGCAACTCAGGCCCGCAGCCAGGCCCTTGGGGACCAATCTGGGTGGGTTAACACACACACACACACACACACACACACACACACATTCTTTTTTTATGATCGTGGCTTCATAATTTTATGAATTACCGGCAGACGGAGATGGAGACAATGGTCGGCTGACGGAAATGCAACTGCCAAGGCATTTGCAAACTCATTTGAAACCAGAGCGGTAAAGCCGTAATTGCTAAGAATTAAAAAATAACGCCACTAAGCCTGGATCACGCACACGGAGGCAATAGCCGAAACGTTCTCGTTGCGAATTTGCCGAGATTGGGCCAAGATTAGGCCAAGCGCCAGGTGATCGATATGGCGAGAGGCGAGAGCAGATGCAGAGGCAGAAGCACTGCCACTGGCCAGCCTTTGGTCGTTGATCGTTAGTCTTGGCATTGCGGTGCTCTGGCTTCTGCACTCAGAGGCAGCATGGAAAATCCATTACGTGTAATGTGCGTTAAAGCACGAAGTTCAGCTTACGGCTCAGGCTATGTGAGGAGAGCAGCTCCTCGAGCTGCGATTGATTTCCGCACTAATCAAATTCGAATTTAGCATTCATTTTTCATTGGATCTCAAGGAGAACGAAAGATCACAGAGAGAAATGGAGATGTGTTGTGTAAATAGGCGAAGGCTATCGAAGATAATTGAGATCGATTACAGGGGTTCTTTTTCTGTTCACAATTATGGCTTCTTTATTACATATCCATGTCCAACTTTTTGAGAAGTTTCTAGCTGATGAATTCTTTTCGAGTGTACTCTCCTAATCAACGATTACGCAATTGTGTTGTGTGCTTCTGCAAATCGATTTGCATGCCAACTGCCAGGTCTGGTCATTGACTTGGCCAAGTCATTAGCGAAACCCCAAGAATGAGTCGCGTGCCTCTTGCAATACCGTTCCTTCTGCTCATACAGATGCAACTCGAGAGATGCTGGCCACCACACTGGGGCGTGAAGAGTCACAGATGGAAATTCTAATTACCCGATTTCTTGTTGACTCCACTGACTTACATGAGCTGCAACAAGCCAATAGAGAACAGAAACAGCATCGAACTGAGGACTGTGTTGTTCTGCTAAAGCTGAAGGCGGAGGCCGGCGAAATTTGCAGTAAAAATGTTCGTTTGCCCCACTCAAATTACAATTTAATGTTGTGGGTCAGTCGCCTTAGTGGGGCAATAAACAAAGTGCCAGTCGAAGTCCAAGTCCAAGTCCAACTCCGACAACTAGCGGAGTCGCAGTCGCAGATTCCTCGCGTCGACTTGGCTACATAAATTGACTGTGTGCACAGCACACAAATGTCTGGATGATTGTGTGCCGCAGGGAGTGGGGCGGTCGCTACATTTCCTATATATATATATACATTTTCCTTATTTTTTTCTATAGCATTTTCAATTGCTGCCGCGGTGCGCTTTGGCTGCGCATTTGGACCCAAATTCAAATTCAGATTCGGACGCGAATTCAGGTTCGATGGCGATTTATTTAGGCAAATAAACAAATGGCATGTGCAGAGTGTTAATTTATCAAGTCGCCGCAGTGCAGGCCATTGAGAATAAGTGCGAGAAAATCACTTTGCAACGGCAAAAATGCCGATCCCGAGATGCTTAAATCCTCAATGCTCAGTTGTTCAGATGCTCAGTTGCTGTCGTTTGGCTTATTTATGGCCCGGCTGCTCATTTTGTCAGCCCAAAGTGCCTGCCATATATCAGGGGAGCATATCTCATTACTTTGTGATATTGCCAATGCATTTTGTCTGACCCAATAGACACCTACAAGTAATGAAAAGGACGTGGATACCCAAAGCCAAACTCGCAAAAGTGGAGAAAAGATTTGGCAAAAGCCAACTGGATTTCTCTCGGCAACACAAGAAACGAACAACAACACAGACAACAAAAACAACGCTAGATATGTGCAGGCAAACGAAAGACTTAGGCGACAAACTTGCTCAGCTGCAAACACGTGTTGAAGACGAGAAAAATTACCCAGGGATGTTGTTTCCACTCGGTTCTTCATTTTATAAGGAATGCAGTTAAATTGTATTTAGAATCAAAATCAAAAGAATTTGGCAAAAAACTTAATAAATGTAATATAAATCGAAAGACTTAGGCAACGAACTTGCACAAAATAAAGCTAAAATCATTTTACACAAAAAATAGCTCTGAGAAATTTATAAGAACTATAGGTATATAAATATTTAAGATACATTAAATCTTATTTTTATATGCTATTTTTTTTAGTAAATTCAAGTTTTCAAATATCATACTACGCCAAAAATGCATTAATTTCAATTCGGAAAGTGTTTCTATGCTAGTTTTTATAAGGCTAACAAATCTATATACTGTGTTTTAAAATTAAAAGGATTATATTTTTTATCTTATTTTTTTGTCGATTTTAGTGATGAAACTCCTTAAAAAAATTTGAAAAAGTTTCAAAAATTTATTTCTTTACCGGAAACAGCTAGAAAGATTCAGCTTTTAATGCTGATCGAGAATATATATGGTTTATAGGGTCGGAAATGATTCCTTCATATCGCTACATGTTTCTAATTAAGATTATAATACCTGCAAGGGTA